CACGAACACGAACAACCTTTTTTGTGTTTGGGGATGAGGGTGAGGCATACGTGGAACAACGACACACACACACACACACAAAATCTTTTTTAAAAGATGGATTTTTGAGTAAAGGAACTAAGATGGAACAAATGGCAAAATAACAGGTGGGGAAAGGGAAATACACTCATCATTACCTTGGATTTTGCGAGAGTGTCAATCACGTTTACAACAAAGTTTCTACTCCTCTCTTTTCCCAAGTTTATGTATGTGCAAGGTCAGGCCGAGGATCGGGCCGCGTTAAGATAAGCCACGTTTAAAAGTACACGGGGACTAACCCGATATACTCTTGCAAGGTGTGGCTTGACCTCACACCAAATCACCCTCGCCTCCCCCCCTTCCCCGTTCTAAACGCCGGCTGCGTACAGAACGATACGCGACCGCTCCGAAAATAGAGCACTTTAGCTTTGAGTGGCCCTGTCTGCGATATTGCTCCCGGTATCTGTGGCGGCGGCTGGGGCTGCCCGCTCGGACATCCCTTGCGCGGCTGCGCGGCTCATGCGCGGCCTCTATCGCACGGGTCATACGCAACGCGCTTGTGGCAGGTTGGGCAGACGGCGGGGGCCCCAAGCAAATTAACGAAAAACCGCAGCTATGTGACTAATTGTAAGCAGACACGCTGACAGGCTGCTTGCCTGGCCCGGCGGTCCGCCCGGCCAAACTGCGGGGTGGGTGGAAGACCTCAACGCAAGAGCAGTGCCGAGCTCATACCCCGAGATAGGTACATCACTGACGGAATGTAGGGTGGGTTAACATACGTTTACAAAGGGTCCCTTAAAATGAAACAGCCACCCCTTCGGAGGTAAAAGGTGGTATCAAAGAAGAAAAAAACCGTTGTTGTTTTTTATTTTTGTTTATCATGAAACCATTTCAAAATTTCTGTCTGATATTTTGTGTTCGAGACTCGAGCCATTTCACAGCAATCAGGTTTTTTGGCTATGCTCGGCCCGCGGGGGGCGATCATCAAGCCGCGGGTCGGGAGCTGGCGCTTCATTCTGGGGCCCCTATCTGTGCCTGGGCCTCCCCCCCTAACCCTCTACAGAGCCGCGGCGGTCAGCGCTCTTGCGCGTGCCGCCGGGCCGGCCGACGACAGCCCTCGCCCCGCCCAGGGTTAGGGTGCTCCGACGTCGGGCCGCGTGCCTTCCGCAGCAGCGAGCGTGTCGCCTTATCACGGTTACAGATATCTTTCCCTAGGGCGAGCGAGAAGAGACACAAAAAATTTCGCTGTTCTGAGAGCAAGATAATTTTTCCGACTCAATTTGAGTCATAATTTATGGTCCTCACCAAATGATAGTAAGGTGGTTCCTCACTGCAGTGTCAGGGAGATCTTACTCATTCAGAGTGCGAATTCGGTGCATACGACTTAAATAGGGCGAAGCCTTAAAGTCGTCGCTCTGTTTGGGCAGGGCAAAGTTGTCTCACTAATTTCGAGCACGACTCCTCACTCCTCACAGGGTTGCAGTGAAATGTCGCAGAGCCCAGATGTGGCGTGGAGTGCTGCTCTACAGATAACAACAAAACCAAAAGGTGTAATCCAGCTCAAACCAACGAAGGGTCGGACTTGATGGTCTTGGCTCGGAGATAGGTATAGATTCGGTCTTTAGCGCAGGCGCGGTATAAGGGGGGGGGGAATCCCCCCCCCCTCATCGTCTCTAGTGAGTCGCCTGTAAGGTAGGCAATTTGCACTACAAAACTCCTGTACGTAGGCAACCCACAGTACACCCCCCCCCCCTGTCATCCTCCTCTCATACCGATCCTGCTTTCGCGTACCAATGAACCAGATCCTAAAGGGTTTGGTGATACCTCAAACAGGGTAGTATCTACCGATATTCAATTTTTTTGTTGCACCGTGGTTTCAAAATGTTCTGGTGGTGTGGGGAGAAGCAATTGTATGCATTTGGACCACAACATTATTCCATTTCGCTTATTTTATACCATTTTAGGTGTCAAAAAGCACATTTTGGGGGGTTCCCCAAAAAACGTTGTAATGAATTTTTAATTATATATTTTTATGGATCCTCTTCGAAGGTTAATCAAAACCATGTATTGGTTTTGTCCGGCAATGGAGTAATTCTCTGCTTTTAAAATAAAGTTGATTGTAGAAGTTGTCAAATTGCACAATTTCTTCACAAAATATCTTCATAATCATATCAGAACATTGTCAAAGACAAAATAAAGTCCCTCCCAATCGCCCGGTGCACCCTGTGGGTAGGCCAGCCCGCACAGCAGCTAAACGTGACAGGACTGCCCACCGCCCAGTGGCCCGGTGCACCCTGTGGGTATGCCAGCCCGCACGGCAGCTAAGCGTGACAGGACTGCCCACCGCC